TATGCATTAGCTGCTGTGTGAAAAACATGGTCTTTCTCACAGGTCACTGAGTGGGGCATCCAGAAGCTGGGCCTTCCTCTGTACGCAGACCACCTGGCTGGCACCTACAGTGGGGGCAACAAGCGCAAGCTCTCCACTGCCATTGCGCTGATCGGCTGCCCACCACTCGTCTTGCTGGTAAGAGTCATGTCACAGCTCTGTGACAGTGCAGTGGAACACCTTGTGACACCGCCTGCTAAAGAGGTACAAAGAGGTTTATGACAGTCCTGGCAAGCTCGTTTCTGCCCTCAACTTACATCTATTTTAATTTTGAGTTCTTTAATTTCAGGCATAGACTGGGATGCATAACTATGTTTCCAATGGATCCCAAGTGATTATGAAAGAAAGATCTTCAACAAAGAATGTTTTGAGATGAAATCTATAATCCAGATAAATCCAAATTTAAATCCTTGTTTGGTTTCAGTCGGCCACTTGTTGTCAGAGAGTAGCTACTCATGTAAAAGATGATCTTCTGGCAAATACCTTGCTGCCATCTCTAGCAGAACAGAGGAAGATAGCTACCCTTTTGCAGCCTTTAATATCTTTGGAATAAATTATACAGATTTATATGAAACTATACAAATGCTGAAATGTAGTTCTTATCAAAATAAGTTATCAGATAATTGCATATCTAAAGAGAAATTCTATATGCAATTACTACAAAAATGCTTTAGATTATACTGTACCACCTTAATCTGTAGGCTAAAAAGATGTACTTTAATAACATTTTAGTAGCATGGTTCTCAGCGCGATTTAATACGCCTTTACGTGTATTCTGACTGCATAGGAAACAGTCAGATAAAATGTTTTCTCATAATTTCTTAAGACAAAATGTTGAACGAAAATTTTTCTATCCAAGATTTTCTTTACATTTTTTGGCACTAACTGAGTTAACTGACTTATGTAGGACCAGATCCTTAGCAGGTGTAAATCAGGGTAACTACATTAGTTTCTTGGGTTGAGCAATGTCCTGTATGTTTATGTAAGTAAGAAGATTACTTGGTGAGAACTCATTCTCCTCTTACAAGCATGGCTGCCCAGAAAAAGCATTCGCTTCCCTGTAGCTGTGCCCTACACAGACAGCATTGTATTCTTACCTGCAGGTTCTTATTACTTCTTTCCTTACTGCTTTGTGCCAAGAAGTGCATTGGTACCCATTCACTCATGCACTTCTCAAGGTGTGTGTGCTTTCTCAAGGCACAGATTACAGTGGAGAAGCAATTATATGCTACAGTCCAAACAGTGACTTGTTTCTAAATAGATTTTCTCTTTTTTTATTTGATTCTCTGAATCTAACTGCCCTAACATTTCCTTTACAGGATGAACCAACTACTGGAATGGACCCTCAGTCCCGGCGCCTCCTGTGGGACTCTATTGTTGGTGTGCTCAGAGATGGGCGAGCAGTGGTTCTAACCTCACACAGGTAAACACAGTTAGAATTCAGAATCCAAGAGTAAATGAAGTTCATCTGTTGAATTTTGTCTCAAATATCTCTTCTCTATTTTGAAAGTATGGAAGAATGTGAAGCCCTCTGTACTCGTTTAGCCATCATGGTGAAAGGTACCTTCAAATGCCTAGGCACAATTCAGGAGCTAAAATACAAGTAAGTAGAATATTTTTATGGTGTTTGTTAATGGGAAAACTTAGTGTATGTCACGTGTACCATTCTTCAGTGTTTAACTAGACTCATTTCTGGGTGCGACTCTGTGGTAATCCAGATAATTTGAGCAGATCTCATGTCAATGGTTATGCTATGCACCACTTCTGCAGGGCAAATACAGGGCTTCCTACAAAGCTACATCTTATGCAATAGCTTTCAGATACTGTTAATGTTTTCATTGCTGCAGAAAATTAATTTCCTTCCTGAACGATGAAACCATCTCTTCATCCAATTCCCAAATCCACATGTGCTTTCCAGGTTTGGAGATGGCTACATTGTCACTCTGAAAATCAAAGCTCCAAAGTCCGGGTTGCCTCCAGATCCTACTCCTGCTGAGCAATTCATACGCATGAACTTCCCTGGGAGTTTACAGAGAGAGAAACACTACAACATGCTGCAGTATCAGATTTGCTCCTCCTCTCTGGCTAAGATTTTTCGGTTAATAGTCTCCAATAAGGAAAACTTGCATATTGAAGAATATTCTGTGTCTCAAACAACTTTAGATCAGGTGAGTAAAAAGTAAAACATCCACGAGAAAGCCTGTCTTGTGAGAATCAGGCAACACAATGGAGATGTATCCAAACAACTGAAAGACCAAAATGTTCAGAGTAGAGAAGTTCACCTCTTTCTCAGGCCAAGTTCCCAGGCCTCTCATCAAGGAGGGTGGATGAGTATGAATCTGTAACTTGTTCCCTGTATAAATAGGTGCCATTCGAAAGCTGGTAAGACAGCATTTCCCAAATGACAGAATTCATACAACGCATTCCTTCAGGAGCAGCATCTGAGCAAGGTCAGCAGTTTGGAATAAGGCTGAGCTGAGAATAACATTTTATTTTAAATAAGAGGTTTGGAAGGTGTTGATTCAGAGATACTGTGAGAAGCAATTAGACACACAAAACCTGGAAAGTCCACTGGGACTTTTGGCAACACCCACTTCCTAGAGGGTATTGGCCCCATCTGTCTTCTTTCCTAAGTAACTGAGGGTCCACATTTGCAAAGCTGTCTTCCATGGGATTGCTAGAGAGACACTCCTAGCTGTCTTTCAGCTTCCTACTAAAATATTCTGTCTCCTCTTTCCTATCACAACCAAACTCACGCTGTGCAAGCTGTGCAAACCTTGCTGAACCTATCTCCTCCTTAAGAAAAAATAGAATTTTATTTGCCAGCAAGTACATCCCAAGGAAGGAAGTTACCAGAAAAGAATTTACAGGGAAGTTTTTCAAAATAAATGAGGAAATCATGATCCTGGCTGATAACGCAGTGCCTCAGTTCAGTTAATGTCTATGGATTCCCCTTTGTGTCTCCTTCCTGAAGAGTGGTCATTCCAATAACTCATCTCAGTCAAGAAAATTGAGACCTTTTCTGCTTTCCTCACACAGGTTTTTGTGAACTTTGCTAAACAGCAGATGGAGGATGAGGAAATTCCTTTGCATCCCCGTGCAGCTGGAGCCAGCCGCGAAGCAAAGGTGTCGCCTGCTTTGCGTCAGCAGGCAGTTGCATAGACTATTCTTACAGTCACCAGTGCTTAGTGTGCACAGGGCAAAGATGTGTCATACCAGAGCAGCACAAGGCTATAACAAAGGTTCCCACACTCAGTATTACACTGATTTTTTGCACCTTTCTGAGCACTGTGCTCTCAACAACAACCCTAGCAACAGCCAACTTCTACTGCTCTACCAAGAACACATGACATGACAGTGTCAAAGGAAAGGCAATAGAATAAAATCTTCCTCTAACATAAAGTTGATTATAAGATACAAGAAGTCTCATTCCTCCTTGTTGACATATAAATAGCATCAAAGACAGTTTCTCTGTCTGGTGCTTTCAGGCTGGTAGGTTCTTCTTGTTTAACCCTTATGTCAGCTGCTACCAGCCAGCAGACAGGTCCCAAGGCAGAGAGCGTTGCCCAGCTTAGAAGCGGATTCCTGCCACGCTGATTCCTGCACAGGACTATCAAGGTCAGAACATCAGTGCTGGCTGATGGGTCTAGTGCTGGGAGATTGCTTCACTGTCTCACCAGGCTGCCAGTGAAAACAGATGGTTGTCTCAGCAAGAATGAAAAGAATTAATTCAGATCTCAGACCCAGACAAGAAACATGCTTTAAAAAAATTAATTAAAATGATCTCATACTCATCTTCAAGTTGCCTCAAATAGAGGCCAAATGTCAAAATGGAGATTAAAAAGAAAGAGAGTATGTCCAAATCTGCCAAAAGTTTCGTTTTCTCGTGGAGACCCGGAAAGATATCTTTGTTACTAAACAAATTTTTCTTCTTTCCTGTGACTGGACATTAAGTGGGTGTAAAGTATGAATAGGGTATGTGCTTTCTCTCTCCTTAGAAGGAAAATTCCAACCTGCTTGTACTCCACATTGCACTCAGTGGGAAATCATTTGGCATTTAGCTCTTTTCTCTGGTTCACTAGTTCACAAACTAGTGAAAAAAACAATACTGAAAACAAATTCATAATGACATATTGCTTCAGTTATCTACCAGATCTAACCATTTCTAAGAAATCTTCTCTAAGATATGTTATACGGAAATAAAATCTGGGTCATGTATTTCTGCTTTGAAAGTTTTTGTTCTTCAATTGATGTAGATTTTTTTTTTAATAAGGACATTCTTGCTCTGTACTGTACAAAATATTACAAAACTTCAGCAACCAGCTGTAGCCTTCTCTTTTTGCCATAATTATTTCAACTGATTTCAAAACATAGTCTAGAATTTATTGCATATTTCATCCTTACAAAAAGTTGCAAAAATCTTTCTATACATCCATTATAGATAAATAAAGTAATTGTGAAACAAAACATTATCTATGCATTCTCTTCATATTCTAAAATAGCTTCTTTAAAATATCCTTCAGATAGATTTCAATAGCCTTTTTTATCAGATTTACACAAAACCCAACTAAGTCACACTGAACATCTTGAGAAAAAGAAAACACAGGAAGTCCAAAATGTAGCTAATTTTTCTCCCTGGCTCTGAAAATAGGAAGAGCATTCTGAGGACTAGCAGTCACTTCATGTATTTACAAAGTATATTAAAAACTATTCCAAGAAGCCTGATGTAAAATGCTTGGGTAAAAGGTCCTTTAGTATTGTAAGGACTTGTTACATGAAAACAGGCCAAGTATCAAAGATATAGATCAGATTGCTTCTGAACCTTACTTACTAATATGCAATTTACTAATGAAGAAGACCAAAAACAAACAAAAAACCCCCAACAGAGGATGTTACATTCACAAATATGACAAATACTTCTTACTTCAGACTCTTTTGGCAAATTAGGGGTTAGACCCAAATCAGGTTTTTGAGATATTGCCTATTTCTTTATTCCAAGAACCATTCATAATCTTTGGTAATGTTATTTGTTACAAAGCACCTGCCTCCAGGCAGCACACACTCTTCTTCAAGTCAAGGAAGGCAGATCATGCAACTGTCTCCAGGCCAGCTGGCCGTGCTGGCTGAACTGAGCTCTAGTAGTTAGCTGGTATGTCCTCCTTCCAATGTACTTCTGTCTTGCAGAATGCCGCTGCTAAATTTGGAGCTGCTTTTCAGCACAGACTTCTCAGTATTTCTGATCCATCAATCTAAATAGGATCCATCAATCTAAATAGGATCCATCAATCTAAGTCAATCAGGTTACAGTGAACTGCAGGGGCTTTCAACTACCAGCTGTGCAATGAAGCTTTATTTTTTAAGGTGCTTGTGAGTTGAGAATTCTTGAATGTAAGGAAGTGTAGCTTTCAAGTGCATACAATTTCCCTTAGCAGTGGTGATTAAACATGCACCAAAATCCTTTAAATTAATTAATTTATTTGGCAAGAGGTTTATGAGGTTTTTCTTCTTGAAGTTCTGTGCAATATTCAAATTAAACCTTCTTTTCTTACAACAAAAAGGGAATAATTGGCGTTCTATGACTTGGATAATCCTTGAATTCTCGTAAGTAGGTGCAGTGTTTATCCTTTGCCCAGATTGTCATCTGAATGAAGCAAAGCAAGGTAAACAGCCCCACTGGAAGGAAAGGGAAAAAAAATACATTTCATTATCAGATTAAAAACATGTTCTTGCTGCTGACATCACTTCAGGTTAAAGTACCAAAACATTACTCACCTGGAACACACTGAGTCATGATTGTGAAACTGATCCAGGTCCCCACCTGTTTTGGCCAAGGAAATTTAAAATATTTCTGGTGACAGCATTTGCATTTATGTCTCTATTGATCAAAATAACCTTGTCCTAGTACAGGTAAATAAAAAAGCCAAGGTCAGCCAGATCAATTTTTAGTGTTAATAACCTTTAGCCAAGATGGTGAACAGTGCCTTATTATCACAAACAAAACCTTCATGTTTGCTTCCATAGCTATTACAATGACAAAATTTTAAGCATTTACAACAATGTCCTTTCTGTTTCTCTGCCTAATTTGTATTTGTCAGACCTCCATCAGTGCTAGGAATGGTAACTTTCTATAGTCTGAGACCAAATGCTCCTCTCTTTAATATCTGTTAATCTCCACTGAATTTAAAACCTGGTACTGTCCTTCTGTGCACGAGTCAAGGTTACACTGAGTTGCACTGATTGTGTCTGCTTTTGAACTCAGTCAAGAGTTTGGCTCCTGATTAAGGAATATTAAATTATAAACTGATTCTAGCTTCTAAAGCAGTCACCACCAACACAAGTGACTGTGTAAGAAGACTTCGGCTTGTTTTCTCTAGCACAATATCATCTATTTGTCTGACCATATCTTCTTGCCTGCTGTGATATTCCTAGGATCTTATGTTATAAATCCACCAGACACCCCCATCCCCTCATTACAACATTCAGTGGCAATCTCCCTGTCCCTGGCTGCAGAATTTACACTGCTTTACAGTGTATGTGTCTTGTCTAGCAGCCACACTGAAGCACAGGCTCAGGGCTGTCTGTTCAAGTTTAGCCCCATCAGTACTGCCTCAGGAGAGGGGAGGAAGAACAGACAAGTTCCCATCCACAGTCTGATTTAATGGAGTGTAGGGGAGGAGGGGAAATGTATAGAGCTCAACTGTTTCAGAGGTTTCTCCCATGTTTAACATTCCAAAAGAAATGAAAATATATTCAGCAAAGCTAAAATCTGAACATCTTGTTTGAAAATACATACCTCATATGTATAGTTAGGGCAAGATACAAAGAAAAACAGCCATGTGAAAGGATTCTTTGTTGGATATGGGATCTTACGGGTTTTGGATCCTATAGATTAGAAAACAAATCACAAAATATTCACACTCCTAAATACATAGTTTCCTATAAAGACAACCCAACTCTGCCTACTCCTGTGTCTCATGACTGTGAGAGGGACAAGCAGGATATGGGGAGACAGGATGTCCTCTGGACTTACAAGAAGGAATAGAATAACTGTGAGGAAATGTTCTGGGCATTAGAATATCATCTATTTATGCCTTTGATCACAGTCACTCCTGTAAGAAGAGGTATCTCAAATTTTAAATTTAGAAGTTAAAGGTTTTCTCAAATTGTCACAGAATGGGATTTTAGCAGTCATAGCTGATCGCTGTAAGATGTTTGGCTCGTGCCCAAGGAACCCTGATCTGCACAGAGATCTTGTACCCCCTATAGAAACCAGTGAAATTACTTTTCCTTGCTCACCAAATCATAGCTTTTACTAGCACTGTTTCCTTTTGCACTGCCAGTGTAACCAATATAACTGCTCCCCCCAATACAACCTGGGCCTTAGCAATAAAAATTACAGTAAGATAGGAAGTGCAGTTCAACAGTGTGGTGTTGAATTCTTTGCATTGTCTGATCTCCCTTAGAATCCAGTCTTTACAGTGCTGAGCAACCTGTGCTCCCACAGCAGTCAGCTGACAGGTATCAACACCCCCCAGGATCAGGTCTTTCACAAGGCAGAGTAAATTAAGAAGTAGTGAATGGCTGTGCCAAAGTGAAAAATGATTATTCAGTTTTTACCATTTCTCCGGAGGTCACTGAGTGCAACATGAATGGAAAAATTTCCAGCTTCACACAGCTGCAAGAAAAAGTATGACAGAGTTAAAAATGTGCTTCCCTTCTATTTGTTTTTCTTCCTTTTGTTATTTCCTGGGGTCCTTTAAAAATTTAGGAAAAGGAAAGTAATTTGTTGTAAACGTAATAAATATCCCTAACTGAGAGTGCTGTCTGACAGGAGGATATCTTCATTCAAACATGAATCCATGTCATACTCAGTTATATATTTATGATATTTTCCAGAAATGTGTCAAAAGATCAAATTTACTACTTAGATAATCCCCATGAGATCTAAATAAAACAAAGGGGATAAAAGTAAACCCAGGAGATACTTGCTTTATCTTTTTGTCATTCTTATGTCTTTAAAAACACCCAAAAATGGATTTGCATAGTTTTGGTTTCTCAAAAGTTATTAAAATCTCAAGGAAGATACAGGTTGGACTCTAAGTAAATTTTCTTCCCTAGAGTATAATTGCTATGAATCATGAAGTAAAATTGACCCAGCTTCCTTCGCTGGTTTTAAAGGATGCTTCCCCAATCAATTATAAAGAAAGTGCATTGAAATGACCCATTTATATGATTATGGACAGCCTCCAGTGTCTGCAAAGCATAACCATCAGAGCAAATGACTAGTGGTCAGAGCTCCTGAGTTTTATTCCCAGCTCTGTGCTCTCTGTTATGGAGTCTCTCTATAAAATGTGAATAGGTTATGAACTCATAGAATTTTCATACTAGGAAGCTGCTTTGAGATCCTGCAGTCACTGACAATTAATTTGTCCAAGTGAACAGCTGATGTGCTAAACAAGTTACCCATACATAGGAAAAATCTTTGTATATAGGTCACCTTTGTTGGCTACAGTAACATTGCTTCTGCATGTATGAAATGTTCCTGGGAACTGTGAGAATGAACAGTGATGAAGAATTTTGATTCATAAGGAAAGCTGTAAAATTTTCTGAAGCTCAGCAAAATGAAACTCTATCCCTGGACATTATCAGTAACATACTTTCTTAGTTGGTCTAAAACTCTCTGAGTTTTATGATCTGTTGTGATTCTTAACACTCAAGAAACAGTTCACAAAACAAACTCACTGGCTTTTAAACATAGTGTCACAAACTGGTAGTTCCAGCTTCTTTAAAGATTATGAGAGATCATCCCAGCAGTTAAATATCCTAGTCTTGGAATGGATGTTGAATGAAAATATTCCCTTCTATACAAAATCACATTAAAACCTGACAGATTTACTGTTCTGCATGTAAGTGGTCAGCTTTAGTGCTATGTTCCAAATGTTCAAGTTCTAAGTATCTGCTTATCCTACTCACTCCTCCACTTATACGACAGAAGAAATAAAGCAAGATATTTTAGCATTTTATAGAAAGAGCAACAAACCTACCAGAAACATGATCACAGCAAAATTTATCTGTTTTTTCCCATAAGCTATTAAAAAAAAAAAAGTTTACATATGATTAGTACTAGTATGCAAACACAACAGTACTTAAATCATTGTGGGTTGTTTTGCTACTTACAGGGAGGAGTGTAAAGAGGATGATTGATGTAATATGCAAGCCAAGCTGCAAATCCCCAGTAATAAAAGCAGTTCTGAAAAACAGGCAATTTTTCTTTGTTTTAGTACAATCCTCTGGGCCAGTATTCACTGCAAGGACTGTTGATAACAATGGGCTAATCCTTCAACTTACTGATAATACGACAAAAAATGGCAATACTAAGTGTGGTAAGGTGGGAGCAGATAACAGGAAATAATAGAAAGGATGTAGTGCTCACAGAGTTAAGATTTCGTCTCAAGTATCTTCGAGCTGCTAAGTTTATAAACAGTTTTAGAAAGTATGATCGCACTATTGAAAATATCTTGTCTGGAAAGCTATTGGGCAAAGTTGAAGTACATACACACTGTATGTTAAAAAGAGATTTGTTTTGCTGACAAAAACATGTCTTTGTAAAACTAGATTTAGGCACTGACCTCTCTTCCCTATTTGTTACTTTTCACTGCCCATTCTCTTACCTGTCCTCTTCTCCTTCACCTCATCAGTTTGCTTTCTTTCCCATGCTTTAACTTTTCCTACCTAAAATCATCATGCCTGATGCTTTCCTCTGCACTTGCACTGCAATATCTTTACTTTGTCCCTTTTGCTGCTGTCCTTCTCCTTCTGTGATCCAGCTTCCATTCTCTAAACTCTGACAACATAGGTGTCATTAATGGCTGTACTGACTCACTCCTGACCAATCCCAGAGCTTGTTCACAGGCTTCATCCCTGAAAAAATCTCCTTACAATGACAATCTTTACCTCTTGTTTGGTTTCCTTGGCCCTGCCTCCTGTGGGGTTTTTTCTGATGCTCATTGCTGCTTCCATAACTTGGTGACAGGTTTATCTTCTCCCTCCTTATGTATATGTAGGTAGGAGGGAGGCCCTTTCCTGGCCCCTTCCTCTTTTCCTCCATGCTGTAACCTCTAGGAGCTATTTTCTTGCAGGCAGACTTTAACCCTCATCAACAACTCATAAACTTGCCTCTCGTCACTGGAGTCGTCTTCTTTTACCAACCTAGTACCTCGGCATGTTTGTTCATCACCTGGACTTCAGCAAGACCAAAACTGAGCTATCGTCCTTTCATCACTCCCCCTGTTCTTTTCCTTCACCTTATCTTTTCTTGCATCCTATTTTCAATCTTGAGTAAAACACTGATTGTCTTACTCTTTCTGGTGACACTTTTCTTGGCCTTCCAAATAGGTTCCTATACCTTAGACATTTCTAGGTGTTTCTGCTTTCTCCTTCACAGCTTTGCTTTCCTGCTCATGCAGGCAAAATTCTTATCCAAGGCTGCATTCTTTTCTGTCTGACTGATATAACTTTATTTTTTTGCTTTGGATTTTGCACTCTTTTCCCCCTGCATATACCAGAACTGCATTTCTAGCAATAATACCCTGAAAAAGTGATTACCTCAGCGTCTGGAACCCGCACTAGCTGACTGCAGTGTCTGATGGTGCATTTTTCTGAAAATGCTGGTGCCCCCTCATCTGCTGCAAACAGTAGGGTCAAACATTCAGTTGCATTTCCACCTTCTTTTCAGAGTTAATTGAACCACTGAAGTGCCCAGAGACCTTTTGGGTATGCTGTAATACAAGCACATAGTATATCCTTGCTCTGAGATTATATATTGAGATAACTGATGAGAAAGAGCAAATTATTAACCAGTAATTACAGGTTAGGTGGGACAAATGAGCAGAGAAATTAAATAACTTCCCTGTGATGATTTCATTTTTCCCCAGGAAATGCAGCAGAATCAGAAGAGTGACTTCAGTTAGGGACAATCTATTTAGTGTCCTGTCCATAAACTGCTACTTCCTCCCTAACACTAGCTTCTTCAGCCAGCTCTTACAATTCACTAATTGCTGTACAAACTGAGGTAGAAACAGTTGCTTGTAATCTTAGAATGGCACCCTCAGAAAAACTTTTCGTTAGCTTCACAGCTTGGCACAGAATGGAACATATGGCAATGGATTTCAGTACAGTAAAATTAAATAAATTGATTGTCGTGGCTCAGCCCCCAAAAATACATGTTGTAATTAAACTGAACAAGTGCTGTTCAGCCAAAGAACATGATTTACTGCAAGAGTATTCCTCAGTTATAAGAAAAGGAGTCTACCACTGTTAAGGACCTTAGCAGTAATACTATAAACGCCCAGATCCCACTAGAAGCCTTATTGCTCATACAAAGGCCTCTAGTGAGGTTCAGCTAGGAACAGCAGAGTACATGCAGACTTCACAAACTCACTTGAAAGACTGTTTCTTTTGAAAGAAAGCAAATCTTTCATATTCTAGGTGAATAATAAAGCTTTACAACAACCTCTTATAGGTCAAGTTGAGATATTTCAGGGATCCCATAAATAAATTATTCCTAAATATTTGTCTTCTCTACTGCAATTGATGATCCCTATTTCTTGATGTCCTGCCTATGTTTATTCATGACCAGCATGTACCCTTCTGTTTGTCTTATTATACTGTCTTCTGGTTTAATGGTATTTATGAGGTCTAGTGTTTCCTTTCCTCCAGATGTTTTTCTAGAAAGTGATGATATCCCTTCTTTTTACTCATGAAAATGTCCATGAGTAAAGGGTAAAGAAAGGGTAAAGTAAAGGGTAAAGAAAGACCATGTAAGACTAATCTAATGATACTAATTTTTGAGGAATTCCACTGGTACTTTCCTATTATTAAAGGTCTGACAGATCCTTTTCTGGATCTTTCCTTCAATTAGTTCCTTTATTACCACACAATTTCTGTATATTAATCCCTATCTTATTCACCTGGAGCCAGTTGTTTACTAAGTCCAGATAAACCAGTTATTCTACCTTTGCAATGCCTAGAAAAATCATAGAAAGAATTACACTATCTTAATATGTAGCATGAAATGCTTTTGGTGAAGCTGCTGTATTGTAGGGCATAATTTATTCCCATTTTCATTTGGTAAACAAAGGATGAAAATCACAAATCTCATGATTTGTGTCCTGTCTCAGATTTCTGCTTATTTAGACTGAAGTGTCTCCTGTAAAGGCAACATTCCATTGTTCTTAGGAAATAAGCTAACTATATCTGCTGTGTATGTGATCAAACACTGAAAGTAGGAAAGTTTTGTCTACCATTTGGATGTGATGGAAAAAAGTAAAGATGATGTGATATTTTTCTCACTGTCACAATTTTGGAGTAACACCACCAAGGTCAATGAAATTATAAAAGCAAATCAAACCCAAGCATCGCTAAGCACGTAAAATAAGAACTGTCAGCAACTTTACAGATGAAAGCAAGTGCCACCAGCCTGAGAAGATGGAAAAGAGGAAGTGATCAGAATGACTGGTACAAATATCAGTTTTAGCATCAACAGTTTGTATGGTCTGAAAGGAACAAGTAGTTGTCAGAGCACTGAGAAAAAGAAGATTTATCACACTGAACGAATTTTTTTCAAGGTAAAGCTGCTCATTTATCTACTGTTTAACATGCCTTAGCTACTGTTGTGTCAAGATCTGTGAACCTTCTAACAATGCCTGCACTCTTGCTGCAGGAAGCACAATAAGTTGCTAGGGAAGATTGTTTTGGAGGGCCACTGCTCCACTACAGGCCCTTCTTTCATTTCAAAAGCTCCCACCAGAACGACCAGGGCCACTGGACAGTAAGGAGGTAGCCACAAGGTAGAGCTTCCACTGTTGGAAGTATCCCTGCCGTAATGCGAATTACAAGGGACTGTCTAAATCTCAAATGTTAAATACCCAAGTGCTGATACCACAGGCTTTTCCAGTTGAGATGATAATCTCTTGTCTTCCTTAGTATAAGGTGTATTTTTGACAACTAGCGTGTGCTTTGTTGCAAACATTTGTAAAACAACTACAGCCCATGCATAACCATGCAGTCATTGTACTACTTTGCAGACATGTAGGAAACAGGGAGTCTGAATCCCAACGGTTTCCCTATGCCACAGCAGGCTGGTAACATTAGGGAATGCTCCTGTGGAGAAGAAAATGCAGAACAACCAAGATGCCTTGTGCTGGATCAAAGGTAAGTTAACAGTTGCTTAACAGCAAAGAGAGTGTATGGAGCAAAGAAGATATAAAATGGTTGTTACAAAATATTGTTGTTATCTTTAAAAAAGCAACTCTTCCAACATTGTGCCTGCCTGTACCACCTTTAAAGTTAACATTGTTACTAAAACCTTCACACCCAAGGAGCTGGCTGAGTGAAAAGGAAGGGTATGCTGAAGGTTTAAAGTTCTAAAAAGTAATGAGACTACGATAATATTAGTAATAGTATGGCAGCATGTATGTTATCTAATAGTGACATTAAGAAATCTTCTAAAAGAACTACAGCTTTATGGGTGAGATTTGTTGTACATTGTTACAAAAGCCACACAAAAAGTCCATGCTGCAGAGGCAGAGCATAGGTTGGGTAGGTTGGATTTGTAAGGGGGGCTATGGATAGATTCTGACACAATTTACCTTCACAATTTTCCTCAGTGGCATAGTCCCACGGGAGAATCGATGAACAAATACTGTTTCAATCAACCTTTTGATGTAGTGGAAAGAATGGCAGATACATGCCAAGCTAAAAACAGCAAGACAAAAGCATTTAAGAGTGCTTAAAAAACCAAGAGTGGCAAGACATTTGGAATAAGGCTACGAGAAATACTGCTCATGCCTGCAAACGGACTTACTTAACTACTGGGTGCGGACTTGATGTAAACCTCTCATCCAGTCCATAGACAAAAGTCATGCGGAAATAAAACAGAAAATAGATGAACAATGGACCTGTATATTCTATCAAAAATACCTGCAAAAAGAGAGAAAATAATTAGACAGCTGAATTAGATGATGGTTTTGCTTTGGTTTCTTTGTGATAACTATTGCAGTGGGATAAACACATCCACTGACCCAGGATGGCACTAAGAGAGGCAGGGAGGAAATAGCAGTTTTGGGATTGGGCTATGAAACTGGTAGACATGCACGTAAATATTTTGCAATGATTTGCCTCAGTTTCATTCAAACAGCCATTGCCAGTGCAGCAGACACAATAGGGGTATGAAAAGATAACAATGTCAGCCCAAAGATCATAACAAATACGCATGCACGTTACATTTATGCAGCTCTCACCCTTCTCTTGTACTCAAGAACTGTTTCTTTATTTTGAGTTAAAATGAAATTTGGTGAAGAATTTGTCTTGAAAAAGAAGAGTTCTGCTTCTACTAAATGAATTTTGTTTAAACTGGGAACAGCTTGTAAGTGTTCACAGTGACCCCATCTGTGTGAACAGTTAGCACAGCAGTTGTCCTGGGAAACAATAATTTCATTCTATGTTCAAACAATCTTTAATTTGAACACAAAGAGAAAAATAAAAAGAAAGGAAAAAAAAAAGAGAGGAAACCAAAGAAGCTATTCCCTAACTTGATTTCATTTCAGATAGGTGTGCATTTCTTAGGAACATCACTCTAAACTGAAGTTAACTTTGGACCAAACATTAACAGTTGAATTTTCCACACTTCTGTAAGTGAGGAAAGTAGGCCCATACCTCATTTATGGAGAAAGAAGGGAAGTTGATTGTATTTCTTTCAGAAAACCCCCCCAAAAAAAAAACAACCCACAAACAGAAACTCAACAACAAAGCAAACAAAAAAACCACCAAAATCACTGTTTTCTAATGTGTTTAGAATTATTTTGATATTCAGAAAGCTGTGTCATTGACTTCTGTTACAATCAGCATTTTCTCTGGGGCAGATCAGATTTGGTTGTAGATGAAAAGTTTGTCTTTTTTATTTGATAATAATGATGTATTTCTTTGCTTATGTTTGAATGAAGCAGCTTGAAGGGCAGGGAGAGCAGAACATAAAAGAAAGATTATGGAATGGCAGAAGCCTGGTGTTACTCTGCACTGTGATATTTTGGTATATATGTGTGTCTTGGGAGTCTACACTGCCATTAGAAGTTTTTGCCTGTCTTCCTGGTTTTTTTGGATTGTATAACAGCTGCCTGATTTATCAGCATTGCATCCAAGGAAATAATGTGAAGATTCAGTCTTGCAGAACATTTGACTTTCTTTATTTTACCTCCTATTAATGTTGTCTTTGCTATTTGTAGTCAACACAAGATTTTATTGGTGTCTCATAGCTAAGAAAGGGTAAATATGCCTTTAAATTATGGGGTACTTTTCCTTTGATATTGTGCTGTTTTATTGGAACTACTGTAATATGTGCAGCAAGGACCTTCTAAAGAGTTGGAAGGGTCACTGGTCACCTCACTGCATAATGAACAGCAGTGCTGCATTGCCTGCCAAGGGAGTTGTGATAGAATTTGCATTTGAGCTAAGACAGTAAATATGCAAGGTCCTTGTGGATGGCTACTAATATTGCAGAAATTATCAGCTGTTGTTAGCTTGACACGAGCACCCTGGGACACAGTCACATGCAGGCAGCTAACTGATCTTACTGTCTGAATTTCCTTGCTGAAGTGACTTCAAGTACTGGCATGTGAAGTTGCTCACATGCCTCTTTGCAGGAGAAATTTAGAGCAGTATAATCCTAATCTTTGTCAGGAGTTGCACAGGTCCTGCGAAGCAGCCCCCAAAGGCATTTAGACCCCTAGTTCCTAGTAATTTTGCAGTAGACATCTAAATCCATTTGAGAACCTGGACCTTAGTTCTGTAGAGTCAACGTACCCTGCAGCATGTTTTCCACTGCTACTCTCCCAGTGAACCAGGCATCCACAGTAACTGTTACTGCTTTCCCTGATTAATGAACTGAAGCAATGAGGAATCATTGCCTGCATCCACTATCAGAGCAGACATCATGCAGAAGTATTGGAGAGAGACAAAAAGTGGTGTAAGGATTAATTATGGAATGTTAGCTATTAAAATGGCTCAGACTTGAAGCATAGCTCACCGTAGTCCATCCTATCTGTGGCCCTAAATCTTTAAAGTATAAGGTAGCAGTTGTGCCAACAGGGAGGTGCTGCAGGATTTCTTCATCCCTCAGGGACTTTCCTTCTGAGAAGGAAAGAAGTAATTACGTCTCAGTGAAATTCAAGTCAACTTTGGTAGCATATTAGCTTTATATTGTGCTTTAACCAATCTGTGAGATTCTTTGATGCGACGTGGGTTTATTGGAATCTCAATAAAAAGACTAAGAATATTTATACTTTATTTTTATTTATCCCTGTAATCATATATAAGCCTGGATCCTCTATTCACACCAAAACAGGTAAAAGAATTCTCAGTCCTATGTACTGCCTGCCTATTCTGGTAGACTTGCTTCATCACTGTTAACAGCAGAATTTGCTGATAGGTCACTGCCCTTTAGCATAATTCACTGACCTCCTAGTCACCTGCACCTCTCTCTCTCTCCTCTCTCTTCCACTCTTCTCCTTGCTCATCATCAAACAAACATAAGATAGGATAAGCTGTGATTGGAAATCTCTCCTACAGAAATTTTCATTGCCTTTGTTTTCCCAAACAACTAGCTAGGAGGTGATTCCACATGAGCTAGTACTCAAGCTTTTAATGCCTAGGTTGGGGAAATCTCCAGAAGGCCAGCATTTTCTCATGGCAAGTCTCACAACATTCATGAAGGAATCTGACAAGGCAGACCTTCAAAGAAGGAAATAAGGTACTCATACATTTCTTTTCCATGGATAGATTTTACAAAATGGACTAATCTTCTCCAGCATACTTCTAAGGGACTCTTTAAATAAAATAATGCTTAATGAAAGCAAAAGAAAAAATGTTTTACGTTTTATACTGAATACTAAGATGAATTTACACAGTTTGGCCATTAGACTATCTTTTGTGCACTGAGGCCATGTACTAAGAGGCTTCTAGTAGCAACACCTACAACTGAATGAAGTCAGCCGGCTGGCATCAGCTTTGTCAGCAATTGCTACATCCATGGCAATGTGTTTTGCATTAGCTCACCTCAAAAGAACTGTAATTCCTGCCTGAGAGCAGAGGATTATGTGAATTGATCGCTCAGACTCAGAGCCCTTTTTAGTACTCCCAGCTGAGCCTCACTGTGGAGATCATCTCACTGCAGCTAAGGGAAAATTGATATCTAGGTTCTGTGCTGCCTGTCTTGAAAGCAGAAGTCAGAGAGCTCAGTAGTTAGAAAGTGCACTGGAACAATGTGCAGACTCCTCAGTTAATTACCAGGCACCAGGCGCAATGGTGGAACTTTGTTCAGTACTTCCAAAGAATTGAATTTGTTATGGATTCTCTTCAGCCTTCATAGTGCTAATTAACATAGCTGGAAACTCACTCTTAAGAGCTAATAGCCATTAAAAGTACACCTTTCGTGCCAGGGCCCTGCTCAGAGTTTAGATACTCTAGTCCTCACAAGTACTTACTTGGATCAAGTTTTATTGACTGCCTTGCTGGATACCACCGAGGATCTGTAAGACCATACAGAATAGAGTGACATACAATGTTTGGTTTAGGTCATCCACTATTATAATGGCTGCAACACAACAAGATAAGATTTAGCTAAAGATTTTTATGAATATTTATTCAACATTAATATCAGTGATGATTTACGCAGCAGAAAAATTACAAAGGTGTATTAGGAGAGTATAGAATAATTATACTGAAATCTCACTGTGATCACATTCATGTGCAGGTTATCAGCACTATGTGTGTGTATATCACATGTTTCATATTATGTATTTTTTTCCTATTTATATAGTGGATATTCTGATGTGATGTTAGCTGCTGTAGAAGTTATACTCACATAATTTATGGAACATCAATCTGATCTCTCTAATTGTGGCATTTGGTTCCACCTAGGCAACAAAAATATTGCATATGTAAGATGCATATTTTGAAATACAAGTACTAGGTTTAAAACTATTATGTCAAATAGAAATGTGACTTAGAAAATGTAACAGTGTAACTTTCTTACAGATGTCTAGCCTTGGTATGAATGATTCAAAGTATGACAGGAAAAAGGAAGGACAATTTTTGACATGTGTTTCAGAGGCAGCTTCTCTAGCAGCCATCAAGAATTACTACAACAGCATTGAAAGCTCCTTCTGGAAAAGGGTCAAAGTACCCTGCAGTTAGTATGAAGTTTGCATAATTGCTAAAAGTGGCCAAAGAAAGGCTAGCAGGAGATGAAATACCCTTCATAAACATTATGTTTACTTAAGAAAAGTTATTAATTTCTAAAAAGACACCTACCCTTTTAAACAGATTTTTGTTTTACCTTATCTAGGAAGCATAGCTGTTTCTTTGTCTCCCAATCAAGGATTTCCACCTGATAGGACACAAAATGATAATTAATAATTATTGGCTAAATAATGCCTAAACTCTTAGTTGATTCTCAAATTCACAATCGTTGTTCAGAGTGAGACACCATTTTATTCTGGTCTGCGAATTGTGTTAAAAACCCTCCCAATGTTCTCAAGAGACAGCTTTAATCATAGCCAGGTTCTGAAAGCACTTGACTTGCAAGAAAAAAAAATATTATTGCCAAATGAATTGTCTTCCTGGATATATTCAGAAGCAGAAGTAGCTCACTTATTGATCAAAACACATCGATCTAGGGTATTTTCTTATACTAGAGCAAGAGGAACAAATAAGGGATAGAGAAACTTCACAGGAATCAGTAGGGAACAGTATTTTTATTATTCATAAAATTAAACAGTTTGAGAAAAAAATTAAATATATATATATATGCATGTAAGCAAATATTCTGAGTACATACAGCTTAAAGATCAATGTGTATTTTTCCCAGAATATTTTAATTGTAAAGAGAGTGGAAAATATTGGTGGACATAATGAACAAATGCAGCTAAATATCTGGACTTCAGAAACCCTTAAGCTGTTGTTATAGGAATACTCAGTGTTACTCTTGCCTCTCAGACCACCTTTTCAGTAACTACATAGTAGCATTTTAAATTCAAAGTAGTCATTAATCTACAGCTCTGAAAAGGAAAGTTTATTTTTGTGATCAAATGCACTTTGGCAAAAAGTTATTATTTTAATCAACAGTCAAGCAGAAAAGTCCCCAAACATTTCAAAGCCCAGTTGCAGCAGGCCACCAAAACCTAAAATACAGTGATGGTGTGTTAGTTTAATTTGTTCTCATCAAATGCTGTAATGGAACTTTGTGGTATAGCTACGAGTGAAAGTTCAAAGCTTATCTTACTACCAAAGAGTTTGTTGCACTTGTTGGGGTTTTTTTATATACACATCTAGCATTAATTATGTTTGGTATTAACTGGCCAAGAGGATAGATTAACATTAGACTTTAAATATGATTCCTCACTAAAAATAGGAGTCACTGTCCAGTATCTTTCTAATAGGGCTGCTTTGAAGAGATGGCTTGTTTAGAGTATCTTATTTCCTTGTTTTACTTGTCCCAAATGGTTCTTTCTCTATTGGTGCAGCAATGGAACACTTCAGCTCCAGCCAGAACTACCTCCACAAGAGATACTAATGCCATGATATTTTCTAGCTGTGCATTGTAAGTCCAGCTGGGACATCAGGGGAGGCAAGCACTGTTCCTCCTTTGTGATATGGAATAAATATATGACTGATTATTGGGATATGTTTTCCCTTAATTTTTTATATTTGAAATAACACAAATTTCAAGTTTCAATGTCTGTTTGTGTGAAATCTCCATGGGAAAGCAAATGAAGTGGATTCCTTTCCCAGAGGTCTATTCTTGAAGTACATCATTCTGACTCTTGCAGCCCACAGAACAAGTGCAGGGCAGGGAATGGTGAGAGGCAATGTGTCCAGTTGGAATATGGAAAAATCCAGATACAAGGAATTTTTTCACCATGATTTCAGCCAAATATTGGAAGTAGTTGCTTAGAGAGGATGTGGAATCTCCGTCCTTGGAGATATTTAAGACTGGACTGGACAAGACCCATTGCCATACAAAGCTGTATCTGCTTTGAGCAAGAGTTGGACTAAATGACTTCCAGAAGGCCCTTGCAGCCTAAATTGCTCAATGTTTCTTTTTCTCCTTTTTTTTTTTTTTTTTACTTCAAACATTTTGTTTACTTTGCATTACTTTCAAGATCTAAGAAATATCAAACATTCTTTCCCTTTTCAGAAAGATGGATGCAGGAACACAGCTTTAGATTCCACTCCAGTCCATAGAAAGTTGTGCAACAATAGAGTGAAAGCAAGGTGACTGTTTCCTCTAATTATCACATCTCTTGGCTGTATCATAACATCCCCCAGTGTGTAGATGTTCCCTACAAAAGGGGCACAAAAGCCTGATCCAAAGCAAGAAATGGTGTCTTTCCCAAACATAACAGCCAATCCCATGAACTGACATGGCACTGAACACGGTGTTTCCGGTCTTCAGGCACAGCACCAAGCCAGTTAATGTATTGGTTGGCAACAGTTTTTAGATACCCAGCAGTCTGTTCTTGGAACACTTACTGATGGGAATCATCTCTTTCAAACATAAATTGTTTGCCTCAGAGAACTTTAATTTCTTTGTGTTTTCAAAGCATTTAGCACAATAGGATGCCAGCGGTTGGTCTGCACTAGTGTTCCATGACTTATGATCCACTTATTTGGTGAATTTTTAAAGGCATTTTCAACTACAGCTTCTCTAAAACTACTTTGAGTAGAACTTAATAAATAGGCAGATCTGTGCAAGATGTTAAAAACTTGTATAAGTGACTACAAATATATATCTTTGATGCTTAGAAGACAAATTCGTTCTCTTGCATAAGGATTAAAGATTGATAGTGTCATTAATAAAAGCAAAAATCTTGACTATTACTATTTAGAACAGGGTGAGGGCAAAGAATAATCAATATACGATATAAGCAGCTGTTAAATTTTTATTCAGAAAATAAAAAGGTAAAATGAAAGGGAGAAAAGTTTATTCATAAGAGAAAAACAGCAAGAGAAAAGTGTTTAAAAAGAGTTTTTAAGATGCAGTGTCTCTGCAATAGGATTACAAAAATATAGTCAATCAAATTCCTGCAGTTTAAAGCCATGTCAAGTGCTGAAGGATCAACAGATCTTCAAAATGATGTAATAACTATTATGGAAATAATGACACATTTATCATGTCCGTTCATCTTAGAAGTTTTATTTTAAGCCATTTGTAATCAGCAGATTAAGTAAACTGTAGCTGAGTGAGACTTTGTATGCACTGACATAAGCATACATTGTATTGATTTCTTTTGAAATTACTCAGTTATAAAAAAAAGCTTACTTCACAGTATAGGAACCAATCACCAGTCTGAGAAAGACTAATGCAGAATGAATTCTCCCTGAACTGTTAGAATGCTTACAGAATTTAACTTTAAAAAGCAATCCAGTGGTTGCCGCAGTCCTAATTAAATCTTTCTAAACATTTTTCCTATGGAATTAGCCATTTGCTCTATCTCCTTTGACTTTTCTGGTAGACTGTGTTGTTCCTGAAGGAAGTAAGCATGCCTTAGTATGATCTCACATTAGGGCATATCAAAAATAGCCTTCTTGAAGTCAATAGAGTTAAGCCAAAGGAAAATTGCTGTAAGTGTACATACACTGAAAATTATGTTTGTGCTGCTGCTGTTACAATTGACTTTCATCAGTCTGAAACTTCCCTTGCACAGGAATGTACTGTTGCAGATGATAAGTGTAAGGATCCATCTAGAATTGCATCTTTCTGTAACAGTCAGCAGCAGGTGACTCAGAAAAAGTAATAAAACAGGGCAAGAATGTAGTGACCGGGGAAGGGAAGAGACAGACACAGTGATTTTGATTCTCCTACATAAGAAGTGCTGCCTGTGTATTTAATAACTTTTCATGGATTTTTTTTCCTCAATTAGTTTATCCACTTGCCTTTTAAACCTCCTTAAACTTTATGCATGCACAGAGTCCAGAGGCAGGGGGGGGAGTCCCGTAGCTTAGCCACATGCTGTGTGAGGAATTCCCAAAGCAGAACCAAGACATATGTTCAACCACAAAGCAGTATTTCATCATCTTACCTGTGAAGTGCTGTACCTTATTCTGTAAGTAGTCCAACTAAGTAAAGCCTTACCTCTTTGAAGAAATTGGCTCATATTTCATGAGACTAGAATCTTATTATATTATTTCACTGTGTATAAAGAGAAGAGATACAGTGATGCCCATACTCAAAATGTCTCATAAAATTAATTTTCACTTTTGTAGAATTTAGATGTCTAACATTTACAGGTTCACAAGGTATACACTAGGTATACTCAGTGTATATATATACTCAGCTTCTAAGTTCTGCTCCTGTGCAAGCCAATGGGCACCAGTGTCTGACCTGTGCTGAAATTCACTGTGCATTTTTATTTCTTCCACCTGTTTCAGATTTGTTAGTTAGACATGCTCTCATCTAAATCCCCGAAGACCTTGATCCGTAAGCATCTTTATCCCAAGGTCAGCACAATGCACAGCATTTAGATTATTTCTGGATGAAACTAAACTGTCAGCAAAGGAGTTGATCTAGTTCTTCATGTTTTATATGTAATAGTTAGACACACTGCCAGGAAGTGAGAAAATTGCTTTAGAATGTCTTTTGCCATTCCCCACTCCTCCCACAGAGGGAGACTAAAAAGTACAGGTAGGAGAGGACAGGAGTGTATTCCAGTGAAAAGGGCAGTCAACTACCAAAGAGAAATCCTGAATTTCTTCCTCTGTGGGCTCCTTCAAGCACTACTCACTTCCATTGTAATTCTGTTCAGTATTTCTTTACAGTGGATGTCTTTTGGGATGCCATACAGTAAAGGGATAGAGTTGAAGTAAACTTGGATACCTTAACCAAATTGTCATATCTCATCATGGAACTGGGTGCCTAACACAAAGTCATGGCAAAACCCAACTCACTTTGTGTGCCTGGACCTAAGGATGATAACAAGTATCCTTCAGAATGGTCATCCTTCAAAAAGACAAATCCATTTGTATAATTGACAGGGATAAAATGAGCCAGCATAAGAATGGTCAGGAAGTAAAAGGAAGGTCTAATCATTTGGGGGGGAGGCAGTTTATTTTTCAGGAAAGGAAGAACCGTTGGATGTTTCATAGTGAATTCTGGCTCTTGAAAGTCTGTGAAAGCTTTCCAGCTTTTACTAGTACAGCATCTTTCATGAGGGTACACAAGATGAAAAAAGAGCCTGCAGCAGTTAATACTGACTCAGTGGGTATTTACTTACACTGGCTAACGCAGAGCTCCATGTTGCCAATTTCCCAGGCACACTAAAAAGTCGCATCATTCACTGAGTATCACTGTCACTGTGAAGCTCATTGGAGCCCCTCCATCTGAGAACCTGAGCCAGCTTTGACTCAACACGAAGTAGACATCCGGGTTTTCCAACACCACTGCATAGCCTTTTCCATATGGAAGAGAATATTCATTGCCTTGGGGCTTTAGTATATGGAGATTATTTTCTACAATGACAATACTGAGGTAGAAGACATTTACAAATTTTTTGTGAAATCACAATTATATCTTTGCATCAGCACTGGAATGTTGAACTTCAGCATCTCTAGTTTCATTACTAGTCTTCATGCATCATTTGGTGTATGGATGTCAAAATGTATATCCAGTGTATGCTTTTGACATGGAATTGAAGAAACTGAAGAGAGAGATATTTTTTTCATTGTTTTTTATACAGCGGCATCAAGGATGGTTCTGCTGTCTTTCGATAGGGCAGGAAGACTGGAAGCCCTGGGAAGTTTAGAGACCTTACACAGACAGGTGAACTCACAAAATTTGTATTCAGGTTTTTTTTTAAATATACTTCAAAGAAGCATATTTTTTTTCTAAAATAAGACTTTTAATTTCAAATGTAGCATTCAAATTCTGAATAGCTTCAGGTACTTCCTGCCAAGTAATGTTTTACTACCATCTTCTCCTATACAAAATTAAGTTTCTCTCTAAAGCTTCATAGAGAAAAAAGCCAAATTGCTGGTTTTCAACTGAAGCAGCACAACTACTGTTGAAAGTCTTGGTAAGTGTGTGGAGAAGTGATAAGAGAAGAGAAACGAATAATGTTTTTGCCTATCATCTCATCTCTTTCTGTGATAATAATCTTAAGTGTTACTTTTGAAAACAGAGCAGATGTCTTCAAACAGCAGGGCAATTTTCAGCAGTGTCCCTTTAAATGTCTGTTAAAATAACTCATATGTGGCCTTGTCTTTTCAGGCAATTCTTCGAGGATGCAGAATCTTAAAATGCTCTGCAATCCTGCTTTTGGCACTTGCTCCCAGTGCTCTTACTTGACAAGGCTTTAGACAGCATAGCTCTGAGTGGGAGAAGGCTTTGTAACAGGAGCTGTGACATCTCAGCCATGCTAGCTAGGCAGCAACCACCACCCGTCTTACATTCAGAGTGTTTTCATCTCAGATAGAAGAGGGGGGAGAACTTTAAATGCCAGCAAGGGGCCAGTACATTATTGCTTTTAGACTGTACTGCATATGTCAGTTCAATCTATCCTCAGGGTGTGAAGACTCCAAAACCTTTTTGGTTATCACTGCTCACAAAAAGCACTTCCCATCCAAAACAGTTAAGGAAGCAAAAGCACAACTATTACACTAATTTTCTTCGATGTGAGTGTACTTGTTCAGGATCTTTCCTCTAGAAAGTTAGAATGCCATACTATTTTCTTTATATGAAATGCTTTTGAGGACCTAAACCTGAGAAGTAGAAAAAAAAGATAGCATTCATTAGCCAAACTTCAGAGGTCTACTACAGATATTTGCATGTGAGCATGTCACTTAGACATCCCTTGCATGGAAAGGAGGAAATCAGACACTTTTAGGATAAATTGTACCATAAGCTCTGAAATATATCTCAAATAGGTCATAAGAGTTGTTCTCCAATCAGTTTGGAGAAATGAGCACTCCTACAGAACATTAATCTAGACACAAGTCTCTGTCATACATCTTTCAATCTTTGGAGCTGAATCCCCTGAAATTATCAGGTGCAGTATTTTCAGGTACATAGTTCTTTATGGTTGTCTTTGCCAAGCTTCTTCTGAGCTATTAGTGATAAAAAAAAACTGAGGTGAAATTAGAAACACACCAATACCTAAAGTAAACAAGACGGTTTGGTGATTGTAAGGTGCTCTGTGATTCTTATCAGGATGCACCCCGAAACAGCAATAAAGGGTAAATGGCTAGAAATGTACAGAGGAAAGTACAGATCTATACGGTTCCTCTAACACAGAACGCTAAAGTTTAGAACACCAATAGAGAAGTGGAACACTCACTTTCTCTCTTTTGGTAGCTCAGTTTTGAATGCGTGGTAGGGAAACGCAATTCAGAATTCAAAGCCGATGACTTTATAACAGAAAGCAAATCAGCAGAGAGAACAGTGCAGAAAGCACTATGTAACAGCACTGCCCAGTGTTACCCAGGCAGTCTTTGTCCACATCCTTCCCCCTGAGCCAGCTCAGACACACATTGGAGGAGTTGGACAAATCTGTTTCCACCCATTATCTGCTGTAAAGAGAAAAGGACTAAGACATACAAGGCTGACGTGTGATCCATAAACCATACTGAATTCAGATTAGTGCTGCTTAGGCACAGGTTCTCGATTTAGGGCTCAAAAGAACCTGAATCTGCTGCTATTGTACTGCCTAGCAAGACAGAACAGGACATTCAACTCTTATGTATTTCCCCATCTGCAAAATCAGGTAACAATAATGATGTCCGTGCTTTTGAGGTCTTCTAGGAACTAGTGCTATTCAGGAGTTCAAGTAAGGCTGAGGCAGAAGAGCAAACCTGAAGACCCATGACTGAAGGCATTCAGGAGACACACAAGTGCCTGCTTCAGCATTTGGATCTCACAACAGTTTGGGACACTGGTAGAAATGCAAGAGGCAGTGAAAAGCTTGACTGTTTTTCCTAAAAAATAAAACACCAGGGAAGCCAGCACTGCTGAGGAAAAGGCACGGTGCAGGTGCTACATAAGAGCTGTAGGCAGCTTATTTTGCTGAATTGTGATGTCCAGAACATTTTTATAGCTTTGAAAAGCAAAATCTAAACTTTCAGGTCATGGTAAGTTACTAAAGGAGCAGACACTTTTCAAATAGTTTCGCATTCTGTTTATGTTATAACAACTAGTTTGTAATTGCACGGGGAGAAGGAATTGTGGTCCTCCCCCTGTGCATTGTTTTTAGGCAAGTCGTGATGGAGAAACTGAAGTATAAGTCTGCTGAAACACATTCAGGATTGATGTCATTTAGCTTGTACAGACCTTCAGCCACTCAAGATTTTTCGTATTAGCCAGCCTAACTAATTCTAGCAGAGTCTGTGTGGCTGTTTATGTAAGTCGATGAGATGTTACCTTGACGCCCCCCAGGTGCGCGTTACTCTGCGCTTTCTGTAAGCACAAGGAGCTGACTGTACTGAACTTTGCCCGGCTACTTCTCGTTCCCCACGCAAGTTCGAACACCCCGTACCAGCAGAACCCCCCTCGCTCCTCCCGTCGGACGGTGGGCGCCGCGCCGGGAGCCGTCCTGAGCCGGGCCGAGCCGGGGGCGCTGCCCCCGGGGCCACGCCTGCACCGAGCCGAAGGCTGTGCGGGACGGCTCTGGGTGCACAGCGGCTGCCCACGGGGTCTTCCGAGAAGTTGGGGACGGAAGGTGCCGAGAACATTCCTCGCTCTCGCTCTCTCCGCACGGCCGGGACGCGCTGCCAGACCCACCCCGCAGTCTGCCCGCGGTGCTGCCCGAGGCAGGATCCGCGGGAAGCCCAGAGCCACTGATCCAGCGCCTCCGCGGACCGCCGGGAGCCTGGGGATTCCCCCCGCCTCGCTCGCCGGCACCGCGTCCGACGGACACCGGGGACGCGGGGACGAGAAACGGAGAGGGGAATGTGCTCGCGGTAGGAAAAGACGGGGCGGGTGGCAGCCTCTTTTGTCCCCTCGCCCCAAGGAAACCCCCGGCGAGCAGCGTTCTCCCCCCGGCTCCAGCGGCGGTCACTTCCCTTGGCAGACCCGGGAGCGGATGGCTCCGGCTCCCCGGTGCTTCAATGCAGATGGAGCGGGAAGAGAGAGGAGCCCGCCGGGATCCCGGGAAGACCCGTCCGCCGGTGGCAGAGATGCTGTGGGGCCTGGCCCGGGCTCGCCTCGCCCTGTCCGCCCCCCGCGCCCGGCGTCGCCCGCACCCACCTCGAAGAAGCCGGCCCTGCCGCCCATCCTGCGGCCACCGCCGCTCCGCCCGCGGCACCGTCCGCGGGCCCCGCGCCGCGGCCAATCAGGCGGAGCGCGGACCCCCCGCCCCGCCCGGGCCGGGGCCGCTGCCCGGCCGAGCGCGGGGGGCGGCGGCGGGAGCGGGGCCGGGAGCGCTCCCGGCGAGGCAGCGGCGCTGCCCGGGCAGCCGCAGCAGTGCGGGACCGCCCGCACCTCGCACACGCCAAGTTCTGCAGCTCCCGCTGTTCGAAAACGGAGAGAAGAGCGATATTCACCGGCCGCCGGGACTGACGAGCCAGGGGCATTTCATTCAAAAAGGGTGATTTATTTTTCTTCCAGTGTTGCAGAATTACTGCAGGAAATCAATCGCATTTTTTTCCTTTCTTTTTTTTTTTTTTTTTTTTAAAGATCTGAAGTAGCTTAATGAGATAACCTGCAAAAATACAACTAATCATGAGCTAGAAAACGTCCTCCTTTCTTTCTTTGATTATGTACCTGATGTTTCAGGGGTGACTGGATGGACAACAGAACTCTGCTGAGATCCCTTCTTCTCCTGTGATATATTCCTGCTGTCACTGACAATGAAATGCATGGCATAAAGCAGTGCAGATGCTGATGCTGTTTTCCTCCACCCGTTCTTCATTATGTGATATCCTTTTTTCTAGAGCTAAGGTAATAAAATATCAGCAAAATCTACAAGGTTACAAAGGAACATTGCTTTTTCACTGCCATAAATTTCCATTAAACAGAAAGATATATGCTATGCAATGTTTGAAAACCTTCTGCTATCTCCAAGTTTAACTTGTTTGCATGGAATTACAACCATCAAAGCTACTTAAATGAAATATCAAATAATAAATTTCACCAAAAGAAAAGGCCTCTATGGGAAAGCCAGAAGGCTGATCAGAAAGATCTAACAGAACATCGTTCATTACTAGTGTAAATATGAGCAAATATGGAGATGTACACTCCTTCCCAAGCCAACCCTGAGTCTGAGGGATTAACCTTTGGGCCTGGTTAGACCTTCTGGATTTTTATGTTACAGAAAAAGAAAAAAAAATACTGCTTTTCCAAATAAGATGGCATTTCTTTCAGTATATTTCGTTTCCATATGCTCTGTAATCATATACAATGAGGAAAACGTTTCCCAACATGAAAAAATTAATCAGAACATAAATATAAGGAACATTTAAACTAACATTCTGTACCAGAGCGATCAAGCAGTGCTTCAGACAGACAGAAGTTATGCAAATTGGTTCTCTTTATTAGCAGAACATGCAGCCTGAGGAAGGAAAATCTGTTAGAAACACAATTCAAATTCCCAAGCTGACAGGAAGATTACAATATGTGGCTCACTGTTCCCTTTAACCAGAGTTATGGGGAAAAAAAAAAAGCCAACCCCCCCCCCCCGGTTCTCCAGTATAGAAGGACTTTAATAGTCAGCATGTGGCATTCGAGAAGATCCCTGCTCTTAAAGAAAAGTACAAAATCCCCAAACCATAATCCTTCCAGAACCAACTGGTGTAAAACTGGAGTCCTGCTCTGACAGTGTTTCCCCCAAATGCAAACACAGCCAGACGGGATAAGCACTTGGGTGCCTTGTCTGCGCCTTTTAGCTTGGTGTCTGTCAACGACTATCTGTTACTTGAACGCGCCATGACCATAGTTCAGATGGCTTCATTAATTTACTGAGCCTGCCCAGCAGCCCACGGCCCGGGGGGTGTTACCGAACCCTCGGCCGCTACCGCCGGGCAGCGCCACGTGTGTCCCGGGTACTCCTCTGGGCGCGACGCCGGGTCGGGGTGTCGCGGCCGCTGCCCCGCCGGGGCCGGACCCCGGACCGAACCACGGACCCAGGACCAAACCACCGAGCCGGGACGGACACACAGGTTCGACCCGGCAGCCGCCGGGACCGCCCGGAGCGCGGCGAAACCGGGACAGCGGCTCCGCCCCTCCGGCCCGGCCCCGCCCCCGGGCGGCCCCGCCCCGCCCCGCGCGCTGCGCCCCGTCCGCCCGCAGGGGGCGCTGCGCGGTGCGGCCCCCGCGCCGTGAGGGAGCGCGAGGCGGTGCCGGTGCCGCTCCCGCTCCGGGCCCGCCCTGCCGCCCATTGTCCCCGCGCCGCCCCCCGCCCCGGTACCGGCGCTGAGTCACGGCCGGCGCTGCCCGGGGCCGCAGGTGTCACGGAGAGCCCGGCGGCCGCCGCCGCCTCAGCGCCAGGACCCCATGGGTACGGAGGGCGCCCGCGCGCTGCTGGAGCGCGCCGGCAGGCTCACCCTGCAGACCGGCAACCTACTCAACTGGGGCTGCCTGCGCAAGAAGTGCCCCGCCACCCCCGGCGAGGAGGTGAGCGCCGGGACGAGGCTTCCCCCGGGACGCCGCAGCGGGGGCTCGCCCTGGGGCCGGGGGGGCTGGGCCGGCGGCGGCTGAGGGAGCGCCGAGTGCCGCTCCCCGCGCTGTCCGAGCGGGATTGTTGTCCCGGCAGGGCACGGGCTGGCCCGGTGCCCGTCACCGCGGGGAAAGGCTTTGGCCTCCCTCGGTCCGCGCCCGCCGCCGGCGGGAGATGGGAAAGGCAAAGCTGGGGTTTGTTCGTTTTTGTGTGCTTGGTGCCTTCTGCCCTGTGGGGAAGTCGGCCCCCCGTGCCCCCGGAAGCACTTTGCCCGGGGAAGGAGCCGGCCCGGGCCTCGGGTCTCGGGAAGGAAGAGTTAAAGCCCCTGCAAGTTTAAGTGCTGCCTGTAATGGCAAAGGAGATCCCTGATACTTCTTTAGCAACGTAAAAATATGAATAGCTATGAGCTTGCATTACAGGTGATGAAAATTCTCTTTTCGAACCTGAAGTTAATTTAATTTCTTGGTAGTGACAGGTCTTGGGAAAAGTAGTAATCGCTGTCCTCTTTAAAGAGTATACCTGTCATTCTTTGTTAAAAAGTTGAAAAGAACTTTTTAATCACCACTTTAAAAGTATTACCTTTAGCAGTATGTATCAACACTTAGAACAGTTCTCATAAAATATCTGGAGAGCCTACGGCCATGAACTTCAGAACCACTGTATTTGCTGTCTCATCATGACACAGTAATCTCAGAATAGTCACTTAATAATTAGAAACACTATGGGTTTGGCTGGTTATTGCCATGTAGTGACGCTGTTGATCACCTGGAAGCTGGATGAGTGCACATTAATCATTCACAAATGGTAAGAAAGGTGTCTGGGAGGATGATGTAACAAGAAGGAAGAATTCATCATGCTCTTGTTAGTTGTCATGTGATAATAACTTTTTTATTTGGCCTGGTTACTTATTAAAGAATCTGTGACCTGTGTGAAATAGGGCTAGTTTCTGTAGCAAAGACATAGCTGTACCCTTATGGGCACCCTTGTGCGAGTAGTTTCTGGAGGGCTCTTAAATAAAGAGTGGCCAGCATGCATAACTCATCAGTTAAAGTATTTAAATTCGTTTGTTTACAGAGAAATCTGACTGCTTTCCAGAGTTGCTGGATTTCCAAAAGCAAATATTGGTGTTAATCATCGAAAATAAATTAGCTTTTAACTCTTCTATTTGGTGTAGTTAGTATATGTATAGTTCTCAGTGGCAGAATGTAAGCTAAAATTTTGCAAACTATGAACACAGTATTAGGAGTTTGGGAATGCAGCTGTGTTTGGAAAAGCTGGTCAAAACAGTCAAATACACTGCGGTTTCCACATGGCCCGAGGGCAGGGGAGTGGTGTGTTTTGGAGTCAGAGGCTCGTGCATAACTGCAGTAGAAATATGAACTGTGGTAGTTGCAAAGCAGCAACATATAGAGTATATATGTTTAGCACTGTCTTGCCCTCAGAAAGGAAAAGATAGCATTATAAATTGCATCAAAATAGGATGAAGAATTATTTTATTAAAGAGTTATTGTGCTTAGCTATTTACTGGGTCAGTTCTGGCCTTTTGACTCAGGGGTTTTTTTTAATGCTATTTTAAATGACTGGGAAAGAATGTGTAGAATGTGCTCACAAAGTATTATTGCTCTATTGTGTCTTTGTGATATCGGGGGGTGTTGACTGCTAGTTTGCACATGGTGTTATGAGCTCTCTGAATTAATGTAGGTGTCATAGGAAATTGCTATTTAATGGTACAAAGAGTAGGTTTGCACACAGTTATAAAATATACCGTTGAAAGTGAAGTAAAGCAGCAGCTCGTGGAAGTGCTCCTACCTGTGGCAGAGGGCAGTCGGGCAGTACCTGTACTTAACTCCCAGGACGGATCAGAGGGAAGTTGCATCATTGGTACAGCTGTCACGCTGGTACAGAATGCATTTAATCAGCTGATTTAGACTCAATAGTTATATCTTGCTGTGTTCAAGAAAATCCACGATCAGAATCTTAGTCGAGTTTATTTTGCATCTGTTGTCACAGGAAAAATGCAAATGTGGGGTAGGATCTGAAGGTTCCCCCTACAGTAATGAAGGACTTAAAAGCACTAGTGGTTTGGAGTAGGTAGGCAGTAAATGAGAAGGGTTGTATGCATCTTGAAAAGAGAAGTAATTAATATAATGAGTATTTACTGATTGATTGTAAAGCCTCATTTCTACAATTACAGCACATATGCTCTTATCTGATTACTTTGTAACTTAAGAATCTCTGCACTAAAAAAACCCCAAACCACCCAACACCCTAGTTGTTGCTGGTTTAGCATTATTCTTTCCTTTAGGATGGCATTGGTCTGAGAAATAAATGAAGTAAGTACTTGTATGACTGCTAAAACTCTGAAAGAGGAGAGGAAAATATGTAAGTAAGCTAATTTGAACAAATTTCAGAAGATATGAAGGAAGAATCTTCTGTGGAATGGTGTTATTAGTTCACCTCCTCAGTCTGTCCTACCCTTGTATTTCCGTCTATGAACCCTTGTATTTCTGTGCAGCTCTAACATACTCACACTCCAATATGAAAAAATGTTTTGCAGGTGCGGGACTGCATCCAGAAAACACTGACTGAATGGAGCTCAAAGATTGGACAAGACATAAATCAGGTAGGAGAGATGTTATGCATGTTATCCACGTTACATGTGAAATCAGAGAAATGGGTACGTGGTTACACTTCTGAAATATAAATCAATCTAT